ACTACAGCGAAGCGATTGAGACAAAGCAGCCTCTGGCTTCGCGGTGCTCTGGCACGCCGTTACGGAGCCCCTGCAAGGGCGTCTTGGTCTGTGCATTTGACTTTAGTTTGGGAAGCCTTACACTGTCAGCTGCTGTTTTGTTACAGTCTTTAAGGCTGGATCAATAAAATTACAAGAAACAGTTGGGAAGGATTATTTGTTGGCAAACATTGAGACGTTTCACTGACTCTTACAAGGACTTTGACTTGCAGAAGTGTCCTTAGATCACATGCCCTACAGTGGAAGAAACCTTTCACTCCCAGCAGATTTACTTGCCTGCAGCTCCTTCACTATTTGTGTGTAAGTTGACTTTCAGGAATAGAAAGTGCTATGGGTTATAAACACCAGACTTTGTAAAACTCCCAGAAATTTTACACATGCATCATTATGGCTTTGCTTTATGTTCCAAGAAGTAAAGCTCAGTTTCTCCACATGAACTCAAGGTCATTTCTGCTTCCAAGATCAAGGGTTCGGCTTTGCAGCTCAAAAGCAATGTCAAGGTAGCAGAGACGAGCCATTGCGCAGCCCAGGTGCCAGCCCCCGTGTCGCGCAGCGCTCTGCCGGCAAAAGGCTTTAGCAATGGGAGAAAACTGGTCACACTGACCGTTCAGTGGTCGGCTTTCAGCTTTCACGAGTAACTCTTCTTCTCCACATGTCTGACTTCTTTCTTCGTCTTAACCTTATAAGCTTCTCCCTGCTTCAAAGGAAAAGTATAAACATTAACACAGTCTGCAGAGATGGCTTGTAATTGCAAACCTGCTTCCAAAACAGGCTCCACATTTTGCTGTAACAGGATAAGTAAAAAGCAGTTAAATCACATTAACGCTTCATTGCAAAGATACACACAATCTGCTTATCCACTCCACTCTGCTGAGCTGCAAAAGCACAGGCCTGAAATATCATCTTCACGTAGAAAATGCAGGTCTACAATTTGAGCACGAGCCTTGGGCCGGAGCACCCAACTGGCAGCTCTCGGCAGAGGCCCTGCCGTCAACTGCTGCGGGATTCAGCGCCGCTGTCAAGGAAAATCACCTTTCCCAACCGGCCTCCTGGGTCAGCCAGGATTGGCGGACATTTCCAACAGCACTGGCCACAGCTGCTGTTATGATGTTTCACAACATCTGTGCTTTAAAGTGAGCAGGTTAGTAATGGAATAAAGGGAGCGGGACAAAAGCCAGCAAAAAACACCACCAAAGCAGCGCAGAAGTAAAACCAGTGACAGTGACACGCAGTGCAGGTTTCAGCATCTTTAAAACGGCAAACCCCCAAATAAAGTTCATCTTTGCTCATTACAAGTAGCTCAATAATAATCTAAAAATAAATACTCCAGTAATCACAAGCCTCATTCACATCAGAGAAAGGCATCTGTTCATGTGTGATTATCAGCAGAATGCACCCCTCGGGTGATCTGCATTGATGTATTTGTAACTATTTGTAGTTTCTGACTAATCTAATCTGGTGCAGCAAATTAAAAATGTTTCCCCTTTGCTGGGCAGCGTTTATTTTTTCCCTGATAAAGGGCTACAAAAGAGAGGATGGAAATGTTTGTTTCAACTCTCTGTTTCTGTGTCATTCTCCTTTTTTTGTTGTTTTGTTTTTACTACCAGCAGATAAAGAGTATTTGTTATCTTTGTTTGTTTCTGAATCTGTTTTCACTCAGACAAAAATTCCATTAACCCCAATGACAACTTTACTGGAGCAAAGACCTCCCAGGCCCATGCACTGGGGAACAAGGCATGAGCTTCCCTGAAGCCATTTGTCTCCAGAGGTGCTGCCCATTCCCCTGTGGCCTCCTTGGGACAGCCAGAGGCACAGCCTGCCCGCACCTGCCCATAGCCCCAGAGCCTCAGAGCCTCCTGCAAGAGGGGATGGGGCACAATAGGCTGCCTTTCCTGCTGTCCTCCTTTCTTTTTGAGGATGCTGAAGCTGGGCACAGTTCAGCCCTGCAGAAGGGCTTCCAATTTTAATCACCAGGAACAAAATCCTGTCTTGGTGCTTGCTTGTCAAGGACACCATTGCTTGGGCATGTTCACATTCCCCTGAATCCTGCAAACCCTCAGTCACCAGCACAGGGTGTTACGCAGGTGAGCAACAGGCTGGTGGGGACCAGACTGCAGCTCGTTCCTTTGGGCTGGTGGAAAAGCCACACACTGCACCTGTGAGTGTAAGGCACGCATTCTGCAAGGGCTTAACGAAACACACGGACACGGCTCATCCTGATGGCACCAAACAGGCCCCAAACCCATGGTCTAAGCCTGTTGCCCACAGGCAGAAACAGACCTCAGTGCTGCTGTGCCGACAGAATCCAGCCGGGCCCCTGGAGACTGGCCCTGCCCACGCACAGCACGGAGAGACCCCTGCCCCACTACCCGAACGCACGACCTGTTGATAACCGCAAGCGCTGTGCTTCGCCAAGGCTTCTTGTTAAATGCAAACCTCCAGCCCTTTAGCAGCACTTTCTAGCAGTCAACACAAGCCTTTGCCTCTACTGTTATTTCCTGGTAGTCCCCGTTCCATTACCATTTCACCAACTTTCCTCTCATGGGGGATAACAACACGTCTTACTACCTTCCGGGTGATCTGTGGGAAGCAATGCATGAAAAGTATTGATTTTTTTTTTCCCCTAGATTCTAAAGGGAGAAAGTATGTTAAAAGAAGTTACTTGAATGTAAAGATTCAGAGCAGTGATGTAATTCATGATTACTTTTCTCGTGATGACGTTGCCTTCTTCGTCGGTAAACTGTTCCTCTGTTACAGATTCACCAGGAATGTTTTTTGCTTCCTCACCCTAAAGAACGTGTTATAAGATTAGCAACACAGCCTATATTCTGCCAAACCCACACATATTTCCACACCAATCCAAGCAACAAGCACATGCTAGCTTCAACTTTATGTAACAGTTTGCTTTATGTCACACACATAGTATGAAAGCCTTGCTCATTTAGCATGCCAATACCTGTGCGTTTACTCTACAGAATGTGACCTTAAAGCCTGTGGTGAGCTTCTAGCACACTGCTTTTATTAACTAATGCGTGACACGAAGCTCTCTGGGCAACAAATCATCTTGTGGTCAGTCTGAGTCCTATGAGATGGAGGCACAAATTCATGATGCTATAATCTCCAACGGGACCTCCATTAGCTTTTCACAGCTTCTCCATGCCCAGCACGCACAGAAACATGATCTAACACCAAAGTAAGGTGGGGGAAATTTGAGATTTAAAGAGTCAGCTCTACCTATAGCCTTCTAAACACAAGATCTTAAACACATGCACAAAAGACAAGACTTCTCAGCATTCACAAGAGGGAGAAAGGTATCTTACGTGGCACTTTGCTGGCACGGTAACGCCTGCTGACCCGCCGAGAAGCCTCGGCAGCCTGGTGCATGACTTATTGAGACGGGCAGCCCCCCAGCCATTGCTTCTTGTAGTCCCAGCAATTTATAGGACCAGCATAAATAAATGTAAAAGCAGTTTTCTAACTGCTGCAGTAGTGACTTAAAACCACTACAAGAATTATTGCTCAAACTATAAATAAATGCTCAGCATTACTTTAGAGTCTAAGGCTAGCTGGCAGTCATGAACTTATGTTCTAGAAGAACTTGGACAATTTTACTTCATAAAGTCATCATTCCAAACCTGGATGCTGAAGCAAGCACTGCATTTGATGCTTCAAAAATATCCATTGTCTGTGCTTATTTATTTCATATAAATAAAACAAATATAATCATAGTGTAGCTGGCCTACATATGAAAAATTTCCAAATGTAAACGAATAACCTTTTAAACAAACATACAAAAAAATCCTTAAAACATCTTCTCCCCTCACCCTCAACCCACTATGGAAAAAATGGCAACTAGAGGGAGGAAGCAGAAAGAAACATTGTATAAAACATATTATATCAATACTGACAACAAATTAATATTTGAAATGAGATTATTACAGCTCAACATCAAGCTTTCATAATGCTTCCACATACTAAGCAGCACAGGGCAAATACAATTCCTGTTTACTGTGGTCTGTATGCTCCATAGTTGTCTACATAAGCTCCGGGCGCTGCTCTATACTGAACAAATACAGTGATGCCATGTTTATTCTTTTTA